CCATATATATAACATGCAACTAATCTATTATATATGTTTGATTAAAATGAACCTTTCGCCTAATGAGAAGCAATGGATTTCCATTGCCATCCCTGACAAAAAGCTCGTTTTTCCGGCCAATAATTCCACATCCATCGACACTGAAAACGACCGTCTGGCCACCATCCGCCACCACAAAGCCACCGCCATTGGTCACGTTTGGCCGCCTCCTTACAACAAGAATTTCATCGGAAATCGAACAATACACTTTGCTCACGACCACCAAATTAGCACTACCTTGTTTTGCTTCCATATGTACTAGTTTTGTTTGATTTCTAACTATGAGCCTCGGATAATGATCATAATTAACCCAATTTATAGACGTTACAAATAAAATACTATATAGAGGAATTCAAAAGGTTTGGCGTATATTGTTTTTTTTTTTTTNATCTTGTTCTCTACATGATCCTTTTGTTTAATACTTCCGGAGACACCAAATTGAATTTTTTTTTTTAATTCTACTCTAATGTACAGGTGTTTACTAGATTAAGATCATTAATTGAATTAGCCTCTATTTTTCGAAGGAAAGAGGGGGTAAAAATAGAAATACAATTGACTTTCAAAGCAGTTTTTCTAAAGCAAACGCGTGCTCTTTTCGAAGTTGGCTGCCTAATAGCTTTTAGAGGAATATTTTGAACAACATTATAGAATAGTGTTCCATTGTTAGAAGCATGAAATCCATAAACAAGTTTGGACTTTGTCCCTTCTGCAGCCACAAAATATAGTGGCCCTACTATTATTCTAACCAAAATCGTACGTACACATATTATTTGAATGGACATGGAGCCACGGAACTAGAACAACTCTTAAACTAATTGATTGCGTGGTCATTCGAATTTTATTCAACCAATCTTAATTAACTAACAGGTTTACTTTACTTTTGAATTAGGCTGGTCCGGCCCAATCCCAACGGGCTAGTAACATGTTTGGGAATTTTGATCAAGCTGGCTAATCCTACTTTTCTCAAAATTAATACAAAACTTGATGATTTTAGAGGAATTTGTACCCTTATTTTAGCACATTAACTCTATTACATTAATACACCTAGTATATTCTTATTTATAATAATACCAAATCAGCCAAAAGAATTTACAATTATACCTAAGAGGTAATAACTGTTACATGGCAAATTCTGGGCAAATTTAATTTGATATAATTAACTCACAATTAAGGATTTTTATCCCAAATTAAATGCTACTACAACTCCAGAAAAAAGATACTCTTATGATCTTATCACTCAGCAAAGAAAAAAAACCCACGGCCCCCACGTTTACCATCTTCATCAGAAAAAACCTTTATTTGATTCCCCCAACCTAGTTCAATGGCCAAGACAAAAGTGCCAATTTCTACTCGGAAAATCAAGACAAACCGCTAATCCGATGCGGGGATAAAAGTCCCAATTTCTACTCGAAAAATCAAGACAAAAGTCCCAACCTAGTTCAATGGCCAAGAAAAACCTCTATACGGGCCGGGGGCCGCCACTGATTCAGTGCGGAAAATCAAGAGGGACGCTGATTCGGTGCGGAAAAATAAGAGAGCCACCGCTGATTTGGAGGTCGGAGGTCACATATATGATGGCGGTTGTTCCTTGTCATTAAAAAAAAAAAAAAAGAAAAACGAGAAGATGTGCAGGTGGGACTTGGGGAGAGATGGTGTAACTTTTGATTCGGAGATGGCGAGTATATTTCTCCCAGGCTCCCTCTGAAGCCTATCCCGCTGGAATTCTCGAAAATCGTGGCAAGTGCGATTTAGGACAACGACAATTTATGCGGGTCGCTACCGATTCAGTGCAAAAAATCAAGAGAATATCTACACCGAGTCCCCTTCAACGCCGTCCTCCACCGAGTCCTACTCCCTCGACGAGATCGTCTACCGAGCAATCCCCGCGGTCGTCATCTACATGTAGGCGATGCGAGAATCTTTTTCTATTGAGTCGACGAGATAGAAGATGAATATATTTCGGAGCATGATTTCCTCAATTACCGCCGGCGACGGCGTCCTCTAAAGAGGGTTTCGGCGTCTCCACAATCGGGGGAGATGAATGGTTGGTTGCAGAAAATTTGAATTTTGCTTCGATTTTGTAGGGTTTTGGACTGTGTGTAGATTAGTCATTACGTTGAAATTTGTAGACATTGGATTGGAGTATATGTACAGTATAAGTAAGTATATGTACAGTATATATGACTTTGTTTCCTCCCGACGAGTGCAGTATATGTATAGTATATATGAAAACATGATTTTCCACTCCAAATATATTACATGAAAACATGATTCCGATCAAGAAATATACCTCTCTATCTATTATATTTTTAATTTTTTGTTCTTCTATTACATGAAAACATGATTTCCCACTCCAAACACTATTATGGGATGCACCTGTCGATCAAAGTTGTTCATATTATTTTGGAGATATAATCATTCCATATATGAACCAGACTTTTTCTGTATTGTGGTATATGAACAGTATATGTTAGGATGTAAAGTATATGTACAGATATAATCATTCCATACACCTGTCGATTAAAAATTTTCGGTATATTATTAGTATATTATCAGTATATTTTTTCATGACATTAACAGGAAGACGTTCGACAGTATATTATCAGTATATTTTCGGTATATTCTGCCGTTAAAGATTTAAAGTCATGATGCAATCTCACATCCTGGGACGCTGCTTGTCGGGGTCGTTCTGACGCATGTCCAGTATATTTCCGGCGTGTTTCCTTTTTCTTTTCCGTCTGTTTCAACGATGATTATGAATTTAAATTCAAATATAATATCTTTCCATCTTGAATCCTTAAATTGTGCACTACAAATATGGAATGGTTGTTCACCTTACTTGTAACTATTTTAGGCATGAATATAATTACTTTTTATCTCTTAGGTATATACACAATTTTATTGGTTTGGATGGTAATGTTGCAATTACTCAAAAAACGGTAAGTATACATAAAAATTTCCCATGATTTTAACTGGTTGTGTTAGATATTAATTAATTTTATGTCCCACATCCGATATGTACCAAAGATGTGTAGAATCTTTTTAGTATAAATAGGTCTGTTGATACCCAATTTGACTCCAATTAATTAAATGATAAATGGAATAATAAAATACGGCCCGACAACCAAGGGGCTGAAAATATGTAATAAATAAATATACAGACAGGTCCTCAAGACTAAAGCCCGAAAGTCGATTGGATCCCTCGATGTCGAGTCCGCCTGCTGCGTTGTCGGACATAATTCAAAGTAATCGGATGGCACGCATATCATTAAGAAGCAACCCTCGGATTGCCGAGAAGATGAACGTCAATTGAAACCGTCAAAAGTCATAAGCGGCCCCCCCGATATTATCTCACATTAAATAATGATGTACCATTTTTTACTTATTTAATAACCCACTTGCAAAAAGGAGGGGGATATATATATGTACAAATGAGGGAAGAGAGGGGTGGTTGGATGAGTCTCTCCTCATTATCCATTTTCTCCACAATAACAAAAAGGGAAAAATCTTCTCTCTAAAAACAAAAACACCATTCTCATTGATTTTGTTCTTCATTTTCATACATTGATTCGACTTATATTTGACGGTTGATCGTCCGATTTTCGACATCAACAGTTTGGCGCTAGAAGGAGGGCCCCGTAATTTGTTCGGGGTCAATTTTCGTCGGAAAATAACCGCATCTCCACCGAAAAAAAAAGTGCTCTGAGTTAAGTGAGATATCCATACTTACTCCCTAATTCTTATGCATTTGTGGCTTTGTTCTTAATGGGTGTGTGTATGAAAATACCCAGTATTCACTTTCTCTGCACTCTGCTCCATTACTCCAAATTATGAAAAAATTGGAAAATCTGAAACTCACTTAAAAGCCCACACAATCCATGATAATCTGCGAATCTGGAGCCCTTGCGTAGCAGATGCAGATATGTTATTCTTTTTTCCTTTTCTTTTTTGCTTCTTTTTCGCTGATAAAAAATAGACCACTTGCTTGGACAATATTGAGCCACGCGAGTGACATTGTTACTGTCAGTATGATACTATTCATATCACATCACATTAATTGAATAATAAGACAAAATAAAAAAAAAAAGAAAGAAAGAAGGGAAATGCCACGCAGAGAGGCGAGAACAACGTCGACCTCCCCAGCAGCAGCTGACTGGATCAGACTTTGCCCTCTTCAAACTGACTCCGGCCCACCACCGAGCTGCGTGACCTAGTCGGGGCCGACCTCGTCTCCTCTGGCCAACAGTCTAGCCGCATAACCTCAGACGACGAGCCGACCTCGTCCTCTGAAAACTCCATGTCGAAAGGTCCGACCTTACAACAGTGGGACCGACCTCGCAAACCAACACCGACATCAGCCCGGGACCAACGTCAAGAAGCCGGACAGCCGACCTCGTCACTTCAGGCTGACTTCGCACCACGACCGTCGACACCGCCCGACATCCAGAAGGGTTCCGACCTCACATGTTCCGAACTCGTAATCGCCGGGCCGATAAGGCAGATCCCACCTCTTCACTTCCAGTCGACCGCACCACGGCCACCAGTATCGCCCGAACTTCAGACCTGCATCACAAAAATTAAATACCGGGCTGATGCCACTTCTCACCGTCGGGCTTACCTCACTGCTGGAAAGGCCCTCCAGCTGCCGGAGACGACCCCACGTCACATCCCGACCCCATATAACCGACGGGGCTGACCACGCCTTCATCTCCGACCAGTCGCAACCGTGACCAACCAGACCCAAATCAAAGACCTCAACCCCAGCCGCAGCAAGCCATACCCGACTTCATATTCCTCGAAATCACTTCGGCACCTCCGGTCGCCACTTCCGGCCTTCGAAAAGCAGCCGCCGAGCCCCAAATCGCAACCCGGTCTTCTGAATCCCAGACCAAGTCGGTACTTACGCTATGGATCTCAACAGCCGAACTCGCCCCCTCGTCTTCTCCGGCCAACCGCCGAGCCGCGTGATCAGCCAGAGTCGACGCACAGGAAGCGCCGACCTCACAACTTGCCAACCGCTGAAGAGCTCCAACGTTGCAACCCACGGCCGTCGGCCAACCTCACTTGACGCCGTCGGACAGATTTCGAGGTCGCACCACGGTCGCCGGCCAAGATCACCCTCACACCGCCGGCGGCCGAGCTTCGAAACCACAGTTGCGGCCCGATTTCAGCTGCCGACGCCGACCAACACGTAGCCAATTGCCGACATCACAGTAACCAAGGCGACCTCGTCATCCCGTCATCCTCGACTCC